TAAAATAACTATAGCCTATTTAAAACTAGCTTAAATGAGATAAATAATCTGAATTCAAAAAGCAGGCTTAATTACAAAAACCCCTAAAGATTGTTATACAAAAATTTTACATTTTAGGCCGAACAATCGCTCAGTTTTCTGGTATTATTTTACGTGTTTTATTATATTACAATTGTATTATCTTTATCCTGCACACTAAAATGTTGAGAGGCTCTAGGGATTGCCTCCCGTTCACTTCAGGTTGCAAGAAAGTTTGTGGAAGACTCTCTTTGCAAGTTAAATATTATGTTTTACTATAAACCTAAATATAGTAAACATTTTTAAAATATAAACATTAACCTTGGGGGTTGCCGATAAGTAGGTAATCTCAGGGGTAGGGTATTTAAAAAAAAAAAATCAAACCAGCTCTAACATGGAAAACAGCTTTCCTCCCTCAAAAGTGATGCTGAGCAATTACTATTACAGCAAAGCCAACCCCGCTCTCCAATTTTCAAGTTTTGACACAACGGTACACAAAATTGTCCCTAATGTTCTCCTTCCCATTCTGACTTATAGGTAGCTTTAAACATAACGATTAGACTAAAACAACACTATTAATTTACTAAAACACTAAACATTACTACTACATAAACTGACATATATTCATTTAAAAATCAATTTAATCACTCAATACCCTAAAGGTGGGGTGGCTGCCGGTAACATTCCAAAGTCTTAAAGTGCCATGAGTCAGAGTCCTCCTCCTCAGGGGGAAGCGGAGTTAGTGCCTCGCAGCTAGTGCCATCCTATTTTTTGCCGTGGGGGTAAAAATAAACTGTCAAAACCGTTAGGTACTGTAGTTCTGAGTGCCGTGTTTGAATCCCCAGAGCGTAAGAGTGATTCAGGGGAAGGATATTATTGGAAGGGGGTGTATTGGGCAGGATGTAACGGAGACCGGGTACAGTTTCTGAACTGGGCTAAACCTGATTTCATTTTTTTCATAATCAGCAAGTTTGGTTAGGTTATAACAGTTTCATTTTATCCCTCAAACAAGTTTTGCTCATCCTTTCCCCCTCCCCCCGGACGATCTTTCCACTCCCATACCCGCCGTACCATTGAACCGGTCACTGATACCTGGCTGGCACTTGCACCACCAAGCCTCAGGCTGTAAATTTACCCTCGTCTAAATGTTTAGGCAACTGGCACTCGGCCATGCACTCCTCCTCAGGTGCCTGTCGAGACCCGGGCCCTTTCTCCTTTTTTCGGTAGAGGATTAGTGACGGAACCTTTTTGGTGTCCAGTTATTTCAGCCGCTTTCATCAGGATGATTTATATTTTATATCTGGCAAATTGTCATAAATATTGGTCTTATTTTAGACAATCTAAAAAGTCAATCTTAAAAATCAAAAAGTTAAAGTGATATTTTCAGACGGTCCATTGACTTAATATTTCCGCTTTACACATTATCATGAAGATAGGTATAAACTCTAGCAATTTCATCAGGCAATTTATTTGTATCTTCAGTTTAGTTGTATCTAACCATTTCTTTTGATCTTAAAGGTATAAAATACAGTAGATTTATCTGGACTCCTCTGGACCGAGGCCAGTCCGGATAACGTGTTTTACTGTTAAACCAACGTCCTCAAAAATTTGTTAAAACAGACCGTTTAAATGCATACTATATACAGTATTTGACTTAGATTTAGGAGACCATTGTATATAGACACGTGATCACTGGTCTCAAATCATTCCCTCGAGAACAGTCGTTTCATTACCACCCACTTCCTGCCGATCTAGCCGGGTTAAACCGACGTGCTGATAAAAATTGTCCAGTTAAAGAGATGTCATTTCCGCCAAGTGTAGTCCGGTTAAAAGGTGTCTGGATAAGAGGGAGTCTACTGTACCGCTTTCAGCAACATGCCGAGCAAGCAAATGCCATATAGTCTCCTTGACTATTTAAAATTTAAACAAGTTCAACATAATCCTTACAAAATATAACAACTATACATTGTTCTACATAGTACAAAGTAGTCTATACATAGTTCTAGCCTAATATAAATTTCAGGCAGTCAAGAAACATACAAAATTTATGTTTTGGCTCAATATTAAAATCTGTCATGAAAATAGTTAAATATACCAACGCTTATTAATTTATTTCATTAACAACCAATACTTGTAAATTATTTCACTTCTGACTTCTGAGTTGAAAGTGGACCAAAAGTGCTATCAAATATATATAAATTCAATATATACATTTTACAGACCGATTAACTTTTGGATTCTTATCCCAGGTGAAATTTTTAGATGGTACTTAATATTTTTGCTACCTTTTTATATTTAATAACAAGTGTTCAGATGACTTATCAGTAATTTATCAGAGTGCTGTGGACAAGTGCATTTCCTAAAATTATCTCTCCAATTTAAGCACACAATTACATTTAATCAATTAATTTCTCATGCTCGACTTTCATTAATTATGAAAAATGTATCACAATTAATTTCATATTTTGGTGCACAAATCTCTAAAGCTTTAATATATAGCTATCAAACAAGATTTTAATGAATAATAATTTTTTTTGTTCAATGTGTGGGTTAAAAATATTATTGCTATGGTCCACAGCCAGTAATATTTTCCACATGGTCATATTCATCATTAATCCAATCATATTTTCTGTACATTCTTTAACCCTGGTATCCCAAACACAGAAATAAAAACTGCTTCATGAGTAAACAATTTTAATAATGCCTTTTCATATTTACAACATGTTTTTCTACAGTATAAATTCTTTAAGGTAGGTAGAGTAGAAGGCAAAAGAAGAATTATCTGAGCAATTCGCAACATTGTACTCTCAGACTAGGTGTCAGCATAGTCAAAGGTTGAACACAGATAAGGCTGCTACATTACACAGCTATTAGTAAGCGCCTGATAAAGTAAATTTTGTTCAATATTGCTTATTTTCTCTTGCATTACTGATTACGTAGCTTTTTACTTTAGCAGATCGACTATAATTATCTTTATCTTCAGTTTAGTCACGTGTTACAAATGTAATATAACAGAATTTATACAATAATTAGAATTTTCTCTCAAGGCGCCACTCATGATTGAATGGGTAATAACATAGACAAAAAGAATTAAATATAGACTGTCAGCCGTGCTGCGGTTACCATAGGTTCTGGCGCACACCGCTGTAGTTTACGTAGCGCGTTCGCCGTAACTACATGGCGCTCCAAGCGGTGTGCACCAGAACCTATGGTAACCGCAGCACAGCTGACGGTCTATATTTAATTCTTTTTGTCTATGGTAATAAGTATCGTGTAAAATTCTTGCCTTATGTTCCTTACTCTTTCTTTATCTAAAGTTGAACTTGGTCCTCTTAATCAAATTTAAATAGTAATATTATGCTACAGTAATTAACTTGAGTATATGACTCGACACTACGATTTGAATTGCCTAAGCCACAGTAGACTCACTCTCATTCTGGCACCTCGAGTGCCAATTTCTCAGGTCCTGACACCTCGAGTTCCGACCTCTCAGGTCCCGACACCTCGGGTTTTAGCTTCTCAGGTCCTTACAACCGGGGTTCCAAATTCTAGGGTATCGACCATTTCTAGGGTTCTTTTCTGACACCTCGGGTTCCGACACCTCGGGATCCAACACCTCGTGTTCAGACACCCAAATCCTTGTTTTAAATAAAAAACGTCTGAACCATTAAAAGTTTATATACAAATTAAGGATCAGATGATATGCAACTATGTGCATACGCTTTTACTTTGAAATATTAATCCATCCCTAAACATATTGAGCTATTGGAACAAGAATAATTCTAATTCCAGTCTAATGTTTTAGAATTAACCATTAAGACCTGTTATTGATCATTTAAAAAAAAAAAAACTAGACGCATATATCTAAATTTAAATTGTATTCGAGTAGTTAAGTAAATTGATGTCTGTAGCAGTATTCTATATCTATATTTGACTATGTATATATAATCTAAACTAATTGAAGTTGTCAATCTTCTAAAAGGTAATTTTGTAACCATGCATTGTTGACCTACCTATGTGAAAGTACTTAGCCTAACTTTTAGCTTATGAAACTTTCAAATTCAAATTCTTTATTGACTCATAACATCTTTTGGAGTACAATGTACATAGATAGGAGTTTTTTCAATATTTATAAAACTAATACTAAACTGTTATATTTGATAAAACTAATTACAATTATTAAAACTTAAAAAATGTAATAGTAATACTGTACAAAAAGAAAAAAAAATATCTGTCAATTCTTAAAACTAAGCTCAAACTACATGATGAAATACCAGTCTGGTCTGTATCAGGACAGGATATAGGCTTTTGTCCTGTATATAATTATACTACAGCAAAAAAAAAAATAATAATTAAGGACTCTTTCTTAAACCGTGGCACATCCTACCCTTCAAAATTATCCAGAAAAAATACTTTAAATTTTGGATTAGAAAGCAAGCCTAAACTTTGGATTAATCACTGCCCAAGACCCATCCAGTCTATCACTTTGTTCTGTCCTCAGGTAATTGATAAATTTAGTCACTAAATATTTGAGATACATATTTTTTTATTTTACCTTGAAGGTAGAGTAATGCTAAAGCCAATGAAGTTTGTACACAAAGGAAACACTTGTGTTCATATTTCTAGCTCATCACACAACAAACATGATTTCATTAAGTGTCTGTTGAATGTGTTGCTGTACTCATGACGGAACTGCATTGTACGTAGTGTCTTATTGGTTATATTATGGTGACAACAATATACCTATTGAATACAATGGATCTAAAATTTGTTTTTAAAAATAATTGGATTGATTCAACTTAACAGTTAATCAGAAGAAGCCAGAAGAGTCACGTAGCACAGCTCCGTGAGTCACCGATGGTGTTGTTTTTGTTTGCTATATAGTTTATAAATATGTAAAGTAAGAGTTTTTGTTGATTTAATGTTCAATGTACTCATTCCTGATGAATTACAACCTTGTAACAAATTATGTTTTTTTCTAGAGCTTCAAGAGCTGATAATAATGCCAGTGGAGAGTGATAGAGTGCCTGTCAAAGAGCCAGAGGAGGCACAATACCTGGAAGATGCTGAAGAGCCAGAGTCTACTAGTGAATGGCGAAACCTCATTGGGTTCTGGATTCTTGGTCTTTGCAACAATTATGGTTACGTGATCATGCTGAGTGCAGCTCACGATATACTTGCCCACCATGATCCTAGCAAGCATGTTTCAGTAAGTAGTCTTCATTATGTTTACAGGTTAAACCTCAAAAGACAGTGTACACAAAACAGCATGTGTCCTCTTAAGTCTATGAGGAAAAGTAGATAAGTTCCTTTCTTTCATTTAATTTAAAACCTCACCTGTCCAAATGAGTCGAGACCAAGCCAGTGGTGACCGTAGCAATTAGATAATGTAGATGACAGACTTTGAACAAGCAATGTTTGGCTTCGTCCAAGCTGCTACCATATTTCCACCTAACATTTTCATTGCATTAGACAATAAGGAGGACATGTTGGCTACTCTATAACAGTGCTACTAACAGAGATTTAGTAGAACCTCAGTCCCAAAAACTGTATTAAAAAGCATTTGCCATATTATAAATTTGTTATTAAAACAGAACTTGAAATGATTTTCTGCAATGAGCACGGTTTTTGTGGTCCCACCTCTCAGCAGATTGCAGTGTTTACAAGGGTTACTATACAGTGATGATGTTTTTCCTTGCAACGGAAACCCTGAAAAACTTATTTAAATTTATTGTACATCGTAGTTCTATTTGGTTTATTACTTTCAAAATTGTTTGCCAAGAATGAGTTGAGTTGCAGCTTTGATTATATTGGTCATCTTAATTGAAGTGACTTCTACAGTAGTGACTATAATAATGGTACAATACCTCGTCAAGTAGTCCAAATGATGATTGAGGTTAGCAACCTACATGTTTCGCCGTAAATACGGCATCGTCAGGGTTACAAAAACGAAGACATCGATGTCACACGCACACAATAAATACACGGATACGAACATTTAATTACGGAAAGACAAAGTAAACATTTAATTGACATTGATAGGCCTATCACACGCACACGACACGGACGGTCCCGGCGCAGGTAGTAGACTGCAGTGTCAGACTCCTTCCTCGTTGTTGTCCATGTTATCAGTAGGACAAAGGTCAGGTGGCCGGTTATTTTGGTGAATTAGCACATTGAAAATAGAGTGTGACTGGAACTGCAGTTTTTCGTTGAGGATATGTCCACTGGCAGTGTTGTCGTGGTACAATTTGTAAATTTCAAACTCCTCTAACGTGTTTAGTTTACTACCTTTACTGCATTTATGTAGCACCTCAAGACCGTCAGCAATCTCACTCATGTTATGGTTTAGGTCGATTAAATGCTGGGCAAACGATGAATTTTGTTTGATTAAAAGTGGTTTGGGCCTTTGTTCGTTGTAGCGAGTAGCGAACCCACGACCTGTTTGCCCAACATATTGGCTCGGACAATCTTGGCATTTAATTTTGTAAACACCTGTCATTTCCATTTTATCTCTTGATCGGTCAATTTGTGACAGGGTGTTACGAGTACGGTTTGTAGTTTTGAATGTTAATTCGATTCCCTGCCTACGAAGCTCTTTGGATAGGCAATTTTGTAGTGTGTGGGAATATTCAATACATACGTACTTCTTACGTTCGTCCTTTTGTTTGACCTCTCTATTATGGTGTTTGATTATAAGTCTGTCTACAAGCCCGCTATTATAGCCGTTGGATATGGCTATATGTTTGATGATATTGTATTCATTATTGTAATTTGTGGGACTTAAGGGGACCGTTAAAAGTCTGTGTACCATGTGAAACATGTAGGTTGCTAACCTCAATCATCATTTGGACTACTTGACGAGGTATTGTACCATTATTATAGTCATATAAAGTAATCCAGGGGCCATCAACATGGAATTTAATTCTACAGTAGTCTCAATTATACAATCTTCTGCTATTCTACCTTTTGTGTTATTCAACTCCCTACAGACGATCCAATTCCAATGAAACAAGTGCTATTTCCATTTTGTTTGCCCCCCTGTCTGTACTTAGAAGATACACATGTAATGAACTATGTATTATTATTTACCTAGAATGAAGGTTGTTTTTAGAAACTCGCATAATGTCAAGTGAAAACCATGGTCAAACACCTAACAATTGATCATGTAACAGGATGGAAACTACAACAATGCCACTCTTCTGGACCCGAACAAGAGAGACTGCAACTACATGTCTACTGGAGCTATCTTGCTGGCTGACATCATCCCTTCACTACTAACCAAAATCATTTCCCCGTTCTTCCCTCTTTATGTACAGTAAGTATCCACAATTTAACAAAACATTACTAGTTATTTATATTATTTACTGCTACAAAATAGTGCATTACCACATTTCTTGGTAAGCTAAACAAAGCCTTAGCCTAGCATACAGTGCTGTTATTTCCCAGTTCAAACCCTAACTCACTCGACTAAAAAGTCCATTGTTTATGTTTTTCAACTCATTTTGGAATGAGTGATTGATTTTTGGTATATGTTTTGTTTTGTTAGTTATTTATCTACTAAAATGCACGTATATGAAATTTGACAATTGGTGTTTACGCAATGATTGCGTAAAGATAGTCTCTATGACACAAGTCGCAAGCATTTGTGAGTTACTTAAAAACTTCTACGAGTGTTGGTTAGCAAATCGCTTAGTTCCTCTTGGGTAAGGAATGTGTGAGTTTCCAGGGGAAGTCAGTAGATCAACAATTAAACTGGTCGTTACCAGTTGATAAGTTGGCGTGCTAAGCATTACAATTTTACTTCTTTTATCTGAATCCTTGAACCCCATTGGTCCGTTAAATTTTATCAAGAATAGCCTCCTCTAACACGAGGCCGTGGCAAATAAAGTGGCAACATCAAACTCTTCGGCCTATTCACATGGTAATAATAGTATAACAAACGTGTAAAAATTAGCATTTGCACAGACACTCTATGAAGTGGTTGCTACAGCTGTTTTGGTGGGACAGAACTACGGCTTTGTCACTTATGTTTCTCCTCAGCCTTGTATTAGAGGAGGCCATGATTTCGTTCATTTTGACCATCAGCTGAGAACGTGTCAGATGTACTCTGCTGATTGGTGACAAGCGATTTCCGATGAACTCTGCCGAACGTACCAAGAGGACTTTTTTAGTTAAAATGCTTCTTCCAATGCTGCATCGTTGAGTGTTACTTATTATCAAACGCCAGATTAGTTGGGTTTTACTGTATTCAAATTCGAACAGCCTAACTACCAATAGTGAACATTGTTTGATACTTGGATCTCGCTACCTGTTGTTGTAAAGCTTGTGCTGGTTACAGTGTGCGGATGTTCCTGATGATTGTGCTGTCGTGCGCTGGCTACATTCTAGTAGGCGCCTCCCAGACTCAGGCTGTTGCTATCCTAGGAGTTGTAGCCACAGCGTTCTCATCGGGACTGGGAGAAGCCACGTTGCTCTCATACATGCCTTTCTTCAAAAACAAGTGAGTAAATCATGTAAATCGAGTTTATTATAATGCTTTTCTATAGGAGTTCATGCTTTAAAAGAGTTTTTCTAGTGAATTTTCCTATAGGGAAGAAGCTATTACCGTAGGTGGTAGAGAAAGACCACAAACACTTAAGAAATCCGGAACTGATTTACTTAATGTCCCCTCTATATGTATAAGTTATAAGATTGAGTTTGCAATCCAGCAATATCAGAAAGGGAACAGAGCAGTGTTATGGGGTTTGAATTTTTCCCCTCTTAAAATACCAAAATATCCAATTTTCATTACAGCCTTCGTGAAGAGCTTTTAAAAACAAACAATTTAGTATGATTAAGCGTTGTAAGATTATGTAAGGTTATGGGGAAAATTCTAAAAAATATAAATTTAAAATGTCTATGTTATTCTTATCTAGAGAAAAAGAAAACTGGTGTTGTTTCCTTCTTCATGGATGTATTTTGATCAATTTTGGAAAATTTATTTATTTCATCCTCTACTATTCAAGTATGATAATAAAACTCTTTCCCCCTTCACCATAGCAGTAAACGATACTTGTTAAATCCAATGTTAATTAAATAGAGAATAAATATGTCTAGTTTATGGAAATATTTGAGTAAAAATCCAATCAGACAAATTGAAATTCGCTTAGTCTAAAGGTTTGCTGCGGTAGGGGTATTAATTTTTTTTTTAGCTTATAAAAATTAGAAAATAAATGTAAGGGCTAGTAGGTAAAGGTTTCCATAACACAACATCACCATTATTTCCCCTACATCACTATTTACCATAGTACAAACATAACTATGTTCTGTTATCTGACCTTTTTTGTATCTATAAGCTCAAATTTAGTACTGCACTGAGAGGTAGGCATATTCTTGTTAGGTTTGAGTACTTTTACGAGACACACATGTGCTGCTCTGTCAATAGTCTGTTAATCATAGTTGTATTGTTGTTGAATGAACATGTGTAATAAATAATATAACTTTTAAACCGAAGGCTAGCCTTGTTTTTCATGGAATTGCAGGACAACTATTTTCAGCTTGTGCACCTAATGTAACTTAATCAGCAGTTTCCTACTTTTACACACAACACAACCTATAATTTCTAAGGCTATTATGATTTTCCCATGAATTTCCAATAGTTTGGATATGTATTCTATCCTGACATCCCCCCCAAAAAAAACTCTAAATAAATAAACTGGAAGGTTCCTAAATTTTTTCCCTTTTCGACCGCAGAAAATTGTAATACAGGTAGTAAAGTATTGTGTAATTATAATGTTTGTCTCTGAATTCAAAATCTTTGCTTATTACAGTTCTAATGGTATTTTTAAATAATCATTAATTTTTTATGTTAATAATGTGGGTTGGGTACCATCTAGAATACTTTAAAGGGCTGGTAGAAACAAAACTTAAAAACTATATTGAAAATTATCAAATGATCTTAATGATCTTCTGGATTCATTTAGATGCACAAGTTTTGTGCCAGAAACATTTAAAAATGTCTTTTTCACAATCCCTCCTTTGGTTGGCACTTTTGTTAAAAAATTTACAAGAGTATAGAAATGTACAATGGTATTCAATCTTATATAGGTACCTATTTATATCTTCAATATCATTGATTGTTGTTGAAGATGTTATGCTCAACCCTAGATTACCCTGTGGCTGACTATGGTCTTAGCCAGTGGTGTGGTGAAGCAGAAACGCATGGGAATGGTGTTTCCACTAAGCTTTTTCCAAATAACCTATTTATTAATAGGCGACCTGTATTTGTTCTACGGCAGTGGTGAGAGTTCCTGCACTGCAAACTTTACGACTACACCACTGGTCCTAACCTATTTTTATTTTTTATTTTTTTTTTTTACATTGAGCTGGACTGCCACACCATATAAATATTCTATAGGTACCCAATATTGATCAATATTCTGTATTTTTAATCAAACTAAACTTGTCAATTTTTTTAATGTACATAAGAAAAAAACATGTTGACATATATTTAAGACGTGATTATCTTCATTTACTCATATGAACATTCTGCAAGTGAACAATATGGTAGGTATCCATAGTCGAAGTAGACTGTTAAATCATTGTCTTTGGGAGATGACCAAGATTTATCATTCTACAACAGAATTTACTTTGTGTGTGTTGTATTGGTCTATTGTTAGTTCCTGTTTGTAACATGTTAATGGTTTTGCAGAAATGTGATATCTACTTGGTCGTCAGGCACTGGTGGTGCAGGTTTCTTTGGTTCTCTCAGCTACGCCACCCTAACTGGATTAGGCCTCTCTCCTGCCATGACTCTATATGTTATGCTCGTAGTACCTGCGCTCATGTCTATCACGTTAGTTATCATTTTGTTTTTGTTAATGTGAATATCACCTAGCTTATTCAGCAAGCCAGTAGAGGAACAAGCTAAATCCTAAAAAAAACCCTAAAGAAAACCCACATATACAATTAAAACTGTTTGCCATTTACTCAGCTTCAGTTACTTTGTGAAGTCGCTCAGTTGACAATCTCGTCATGTGGGATTGAAACAATACACAAACGTTCTTTCTCAAAATCATTATATGCAATTATTTCTATGTTTTAAAGATACTTTACTGTGATTGAAAGTAATAGCCACATGTTGCGGGATATACAGTGTGATCGATAAGTCCCGGAATGGTGTAATATATTTTATACTATTATAGATAAAGGAATGAAACTTGGTAAATCAATTATAGCCTTAAATGTCTGCTCTTTTAAGTTATTATTAATTTTTCATCCATTAAGGGGGACGGCCCACAAGGAGTCAATTGAAATTCTTAAATAGCAGCATAGGTCAAGTTTGGTATCAAATGAAAGGTTTCGTTAGTAAACACAATGCCACAACAAACCCAAACTCAAACAGACAATGGAGTAAAAAATGACAGCTGTTCAAAGGTTCTTTGAATTTGCAATGCTTATTGCTTATAGCCTATTATGCGCCCGCTAGAAATTGGAAGAAATCATAAACGTTAGCATAGGTCGATATGCAACTTACATTAAAGATCCTTATTAGTAGAATACAGCTGGGTAAAAAATGACAGCCGTTGAAAGATTCAAAATGGCAGATTTAAGAAATATTTTAAATGAAATTATTTATTGTTGTTAAAATTATGTACAAAGTTCAAGACATTCGTCAAAAGAAAAACAAAACTATCAAGATGGCTCTGGCAACTAAAATAACTAAAACTCTAAACCAAATTGTACTCTTCATGTTTGTACAGGCAAGCCTGTGTTAGAGTAGTTTTTAAAACTTGTCTGAATTTTAAAACACACAGGTTTTTGATGGATGCAGGCAAGAAATTGTACATTTGAACGGTTGCCATTTTTGACTTGATTGTCCCTTTGATTTTGGGTTTGCGGCAATATGTTTTACTAAATAAGACCTTTAATTTGATACCGAAATTGACCAATGCTGCTGTTTGAGAACTTTGTCTTAGTACTTGTGGGCAGTCCTCATTAAGAGTTTAAAAAAGTAATGATAGCTTGAAAGAGTAGACATTGATACCTATGCCAAGTTTTATTACTACTATCTATAATGGTAAAAAATAAATATATTACGACGTTCCGGGACTTTTCAATCACACTGTATGCTGTTTTTACTTGGGACCACATATGCCAACCTAATTCAATACAAAAATTATGCAGGCAAAATGGCATCAGCACAAATTGTGTGAAGGGTATGTTTGAATGGAAATGTATCTAAGATTTAAAAATAGTAAAATGTTTTATATTTTAAACTCTCATAATTACCAACAACCATTATTGTAGGAAACCATTATTGTGGCTTGTATGAGAAATTACTGTTGACTTTTCCATCAATTAACACTTTTCCATCACGTTTAGTAAACAAACAGCAAGTTTTCACAATGTCCCAAAGTGAGAAATAATTACAGCAGTCTCATATCTTCCAAGAACATGCCGGTGTAGCAAAAGAGATTGTCTGGATGGACCCCTACAGGGTACACATGGAAATAGCACACAATATCACAGTACTCAATTTCCCACAGGGAGGTTCGAATAACATGGAAGGTTAGAAGACAGAAGGTTGGCAAATGGAGATTTCACTGTACCTGAGGACCTTTTTCTCATATGAGGATGGGAATCAAATTTCAGATCTCAAAATTTTGTGAAAATTTGCTTATTTGATCATGATAGGAAATGTTTGCAATTAATCCCTGAAATCACAAAAAATACCATCATAAAAACTCTAAAGAATCAAAACTGGTTATTTCTAAATTCTGGACATTTGTTTGAGCAGGTTCTGGATCGTCTTAGATAGGCCAAAGCTGGAAGATGCTGGCAGTCAAAACCAATCAGAGGCTAACTTCAACAGCACCCTCAGCAATGACCAAATCCCACTTACCCTGTCTAATGACTCTTTTTGGGAAAAGCTTCAGTCTATTCCCCCTCTCTTCAAGTATATGATTCCCCTCGGTCTAGTCTACTTCTTTGAATACTTCATCAACCAAGGATTGGTATGCTGAATATTGGTGTAGATTTTAAGTTAATAACCTAAGTTTGGTTGATTGATGGAAGGGAGCAGGCTTTAGGTCTACACACGTCAACCTAAACTATTAGTGATTGTTTTGACCCAAGCCAAAATGAAAAGTAAGATTTTGCCTACTTTATTAATTGACAAAATTTAGAGCATGGAATCAGTCAAGTATTTTAGCTATGTCTTAATGCAATGACCAAGAGATTCAGAGCCCATTGGAAGTAATTTGGAATCCCATTGGTTCACCTAATCAGAAAATCAAAATATATTTCTAAGACAAAGAAAACTTTCTCTGTTTTAGAGAAATTCCTTTACAAAAGGTCATATTATACACAATTTTTATTTATAAAAACATTTCCTGGGGGTAAAACCTAACGGTACGTCCACAGTGCATGCCGATTCAGATTCAGATTTTCGGCAACAGGAATGGCACTTGCATTCAAATAGAAGTGGAATGAATTATTTCAGAACGAATTCTTCATTCTGGTTCCAGATTCCAATTCAGATTTTGCTCCTACGCATACCTAAAAAAATTTGTTTTATAGTAAAATATTTATTTTTTCATCCTTACTGTTAGGGTTACCATTAAACGCTCTTCGGGAAAATTGTTTTGTTTGTGTAGGTTACACAAGTTTCTTAAAATACGATGTCCAATTTTAATAATATGTTTCGGTGGTTTCGGGCTCCATTCTACGCAATATAGAAAGAAGCTGCATCATGTATAGCTATGGGAAAAGAAATATATAACACCATTTTCACTGGCTGTAACTTCACAACAGTTTCAGACGTTATCATTTCACACATTAATTCCTCATCCGACAATTCCATAACCAAGACTGACTTGCTTCTTTGCTAACCGAGTAAGTACCAGTGGCGTAATTCCTGCTTCCACTGTGACCACCAACAAAATATCTGACTAAGGTTAACCACGCGCCGAAAATCTCAATCTGATTCTGAATCTGAATTGGCGTGCACTCTAGACGTACCTTAAGTCCACCAGTGTTTAATTTTTTCGCTCCTCATTTGACCAGTCTCCATTCAGATTACAGCAAGGAGCTTTTTTTTGTATCAATTTCTTTTTTAATACCTAGATGATAAATTACTGTTGGGATCCATTAACTGCTCAATCAATGAAAAATTGCATACTTATTTATATAGCTTGGTAAAAAATGTGCTGATAAATAAAATGTTTGTTTCAAAATAAAAGTCTTTTTAGTATACCGGCAATGTTTATTTAACTATAATTTTGCATAATTTTTGTTTCAGTTTGAACTCATATATTTTAACAACATTTTCATTGACCACAATGCTCAGTATCGTTGGTACCAGGTCACTTACCAGATTGGTGTGTTTTTCTCTCGATCATCAATCAACTTAATGAAAATAGACGCCATATGGCTCATGGCAGTTTTACAGGTAAGATAAATTATATGAATATAGAGGGAATTTTTTGTGGTGTGATTTTAAAATGAAATGAAACAAGCGCTAATTACTTGTTACCATCGTAATGGATTATTTTTACAACAGTATTATGCCATATTAGTGTTTTAAACATTATTTCAGGCATATTGGCACCGTGGTTTTCTCGTTGGAAGTGCAGTCTGCAAGTCTGATTTGCGAGCACACTTCCCAAAAATTGGGAACGTATTCCAGCAATAACATGACGAATGCTGACTTCCAAGTTGTCCGGAGTAGTATGTGGCTCATTGGCGTATACTTTTGACTTAACATATCCCGAGAAAATAGTCTGTTTATTGTGATATCACTCGATTGTGGAGGCCAGTTAACATGGCCTCTATACGATATAATGTGTCTATGAAATGTTTCTCTCAAAACACTAATTGTAGCGTTTGCTGTGGGGTGTGATGCACCATGTGTTGAAACCAAACCTCGTCTAAACTAGCTTTCAGTTTGGTTGGGGAACAAAAAGTTTCTTATCATAACTCGGATACTTCCACGATTGCACGAGTTGTTTAAGTCAACTATAGTCAACAATTAATATTGTTAAAAAACTAAAAAATAATCAATACTTTTCAAAGGTAGCCGATCTTGACTCAACCTGATTCTGGCCTGAGACCCGAAGGTAAACATTTACTATGTGTTTACGTACCCCGAAGTAAACAAGTCTAGTCTGCAGACCTCTAATATTATTATTAAAAAAATAAAAGAGGGTAATTTATCAGTTAGTCTCCTACCTCCTAGATCTATTCGCTGATCAGATTGTCGAAAAAATGGGCCAGGTCCATCGATATCGATACTACGTGTCTCACTGATAGAGCCTTTTTGCCACTTACAATTCCGTCTTGCTTTTAATTAATCTGATTCTAGGAATCATCATCAATACCACAGTAAAAAAAAACCTAATTTAGACAAGCACTTTAACAACTTACCTTAAATCCAATTTACTTCCATAAGTGTTTTTGCAGTTTATGAGGTGGTCATTTGTTGTATATTTTAGGTCTTATACTAGTGGATTTTGTCATTCAACTTTTCCAAACTTTAAAAACCACCTCCATCAAAATACTACTTTAGATTGTAATATGCAAGGTCCAGGGCTTCTTTAGTAAATTGGCCCAGGCCCCAAAAGGTTTTAGGGGGGGCAAGGAAGAAAGAAACCCCCTCCCAAAGGGGGCGCAAACATCCCTCGGGCCCATAACGTGTCACATGCAAATAATCGCTAGCTTGACAAAGTTACTTATACCTTGTATGGAAATGTGCAAAAATTACAATAATAACATATAATTAACCTTTTCCAGGGTGTGAATGTGATATTCTTTACGTTTGAGTCTTTGTTCTCATTCCTACCAAACATCTATGTGGTGTTGGCAGCTGTCTTGTGGGAAGGGCTGCTAGGAGGCGCTGCCTACGTCAACACATTCTACAAGATCAACAAAGAGGTTTGTGGCAATAGTTAGAACTACTGTTTGGACTGACCCTACATCTTTTGCTTTAGAGACTGACGCAGCGCTGTGATTGGTTGAATTTTTCCATGCAGTTTACATGGCAGTTTGGACTCATATGTACTGAGTCCCCACGTACTACCTATTGCAAAAACATATTGCGTCACCCGTCCTAAAAACATTGAGCCTGCTAGTGTTTATGTACATTCAAATGCAGGAATAGAAATCATATTTTTTAAGTTAGGCCTTAATTATTTATTATATTATTTTCACTTTGCATGAAAATGGGATAACTCCGTCCCAGAGTCTTTATGGACCAGCCGCCACTGCTCATTGCCATAATACAGCACCTTCTGTTATAAATTAAAATTACCAATATTATAAGTTGTTGTCGAGATTTAAAAAGCATGTTATATGTTACAGGTGATTCCAGAAAAAAGGGAATTTTCAATGGCAATTACATCACTTGCTGATGCTCTTGGAATCACACTTGCAGGATTCTTGTCAATGCCTGTCCACAATTACATTTGTGGACTGCCTAAAAACTTGGGGTTCTAGATGCTGTTTTGTGTTGAAGGGCATTGGTCATTATTACACTCACCGATGATCGGTGTCCCTGATTTCAAAACTAAAACCGGTGTACCTAATTTCAAAATTAGAACCAAGTATCTATACATACCTGTAAAGTATTTCTGTATATATCTGTGTAATCATTGTATATTTATGTTAAGAGGCAACTTTGTTTACTACATTTTTAAATACCATTTTTGTTAACATTTGTTTACTGTTGTAGCTGCAGATTAGGTAAAATTTTGTCTCAATTAATTACATACACTCCAAATTCTTAGGTACCTATATTATCTTTACCTCCAAGAGTAATTATTTAAAAAAAAAATTATATTGTTTTTATAAAGCGATGAGTAGAAAAAAACTTTAATTTAACAAATCTATAAAAGAAAAACTGTGAATTATTTATACTATGCCCATGCTCCAGAAAATAGTCAAAGCAATTATAAAAAAATAACTATAACAGCACACCAAACAACTTGCTGTTTTTGTAAAGTTTTCCCAACAAATCAAACATAAAATATGTTAAATGTTTGGTAAATTAGTGACATTGCCTTAAACAAATCCTACTATGGCCTTACTTAGTTAAGATTTCATCTTGCATCTGTATATTCCTATCTCATGTAGTTTTATAGTAAATGTTTTTTTTTTCTACAAAACAAATATTTATTTTTGTTAACCTTTGAAGATGTTATGGTTTAATATCAAATAAAATGTTTTACCAAAACAGAATTAGTTTTTGTTTTTTTGTTTGTTTCCCTAGCTTGTCTTAATTTATTGTATTCATTTTATAAATTGTTTTCAATTATGTGTTGAATATATACAAGAATTGTAAATATCTTATCATTTAAGTCTATTAAAACAGTGTAATGTGGCAAAAACATTTTTTAGGTACAAACAATGTATCATATTTATTTACAGTGTAAAGTAAAAACATCATACTCCTGTATATTGGAGCTTTAAAAAAATGTGTGTTAGGCGTTTGAACTAAGGAAGTGGTTCATTTTATGGTAGTAGACAGTTCAAAATTGTATTTATTCTAGAGACAAATCCAGATTATTAAACTTTTGGATTGTTGGCATTTGAATTATTGATGTTTTAATGTTTACATAAATTACAGATGTATTTTAAACACATTTACCTGACTAACATGTTACAAAGCCTAGTTAATTGTTTATTAAGTTCCTTCTCGTCCCTTCCCCCTCAAACGGGAGCTCATGGGTCAGTGGTTTTTTTGACCAACTACATTTTGAAGTAACTTTTGATGGTTCAAACGTTTTTTTGGTTCTGACAAAGGTCAGATTCTAAAGTGTCCAAAAAGGAGGGAGTCTACCATAATATTAATATGTTATCATTTAAAATATCCTGTCTGTTAGGGGCAGGTTCAAATGTGAGGGTGAGAAAATTAGATTGAGAAGCGAAAGAGAAATTCAAACTTTAATTTTCAAGAAATAAAAGGTAACATGTCAGAGTAATACCAATAAACCCGAGAAGTGAATGCAAAGTTATTTTACATTTGAGTCCATTATGGTGGATATGCCTGGCAGTAGATTGAAAACTTAGGGAAACTTGTCAGATTAAAACCAACACTGTTTGAAAGATGCTCTCAAATCAAGCAAACATTGCAGAATTGGATTCAGGCATACGTCTTCAGTTATTAGCTGCGTTCTCACATTTGTACATCTATCTTGCTCAATACTTTCCACCATTTTATTCCCAGCTTAAAATCAATAAGACATTCTCACAATCAATCAAAGACAACCCTTTACTCTGCCTTGCCATCGAACTTTCAGTCTGGTCAACACAATCCACCACTTCAATCCACACTCCACTATTTGTGCGTTTAGTTTATCAATTTTCATGATTTTACCATAACCTCATTTATAAATTTGGATTTGGCTTAACTGGTTGGGGGTTAGACATATAAGTGGAGGTTGACAAGGGCTAGTTTATAATGATTTCATCTTACTTGATACTTGAAGGCTTTGTCTCTGACCGGGATTCCGGATAGACTGCGTCAAATTTAGCCTAGACTATAGAAACAAACAGCAACCCCTAATACCCCTTTGGGAATAGTATATTACGTTACTAGTCCTGAAAATAAATGTTTACCGGACGAGTGTGGTCGTTCCCGTGCGAGACGAAGTCGAGTACGGGATTACCATACGAGTCCGGTACACAAATTTTGGACGAGTTACGTACGAAAGTTTACGCCATACTACATAATTCGTACAAATCCTTATATATTTCCACCAACTAAAGGACTAAACATCACCAGTCATAACCTCTAAGAGAGGTTATGTTTTTGTTTATAACCAATCATTGCCACCAAATAGAGTATAATCAGCTGATTGGTGTCTGGTAAAACTCATTGCAGAACAGTATTACGCAATGAAACCCCATTTGAATAAGCTGGCGGCAAACAGCTGTTTTCTGGACTAAATCCTTGCGTGGGAAGTTCGTCAAAATAATGTAAATTTACCATTCATTTTGTTCTTCCACTCAAGGTGACTCAAGTTGCTTAACTGGGGTCCCTAATAGGCTGCAAAACACCGCATTTCGTTTTGTCTACAGACTTCATAAGCGGGAACACATATCCTCTTTCTGTGATTCTGCTGGTCTGTTGCCAGCCGATGCTGTATGCAGGGTGCAAACTTGTTGTCTCATCTATCGGGTATTATCTCAGAGAGAACCAAAATACCTGGACTTGAGACACGTGGAGCAATTGCTCGACGGGGCACTAGGCAGGACACCCTCCTCCACTTTCCAAAGTTTATTTGGAAATAGGTGGGAGGGAGTTCTCCTATTTTGGCCCAACCATTTACAATGACCTCCCCTATCAGTTCAAAATTCTTTCGGCCTTAGTCTTAAAAAAAAGGTTAAAATGCATTGTAAAGCAGGCATGTAATCTCTTTGTTGTATGTTTATTCTTGTACATAATTTGTTTAGAGATATGACTTGTAAAGATTTAGTTTTAGTGACGTGAGTTATTCTGTAAACCAATATTGTCTTTAGAAGCGCTCAAGAATAAAGGCATTTTGATTTGATTTAATTTAACACCAGAATTGCACCCAAAGGGGCTTCCAAGGGAACATCTGAGTAGCGCCGTTTACACAGCTATGGCTCATAAACTCATTTCTTGACATATAAAAAAATAATTAAGTTTTTGTTAAGGCTACATTATGTTTTTAGCAAATTTCCCCTCGACCCGGGACTGATTTACTTGGTGGTTTTTATGGCTCCACAGGACACAAATCGGCATTTAATTAAATTAAAATAAATGCTCATATGATTATGTATCCATGAACATAACTAAAACAATTAATTGTGGTCTTATTTTGACGAAATTCAGTATAATTATGTCGGGTTGGATTTATATAACTTTTCATGAGTTTTCGAACTAGCAAGATGCTATGGGAAATTGATTGTGGACTTGTGGAGTTTTTATGGAGTAAAAACTCACTTTCTCCATTTTCGACCTTTAAAAATAAAATGTGTAATTGTATGAGACAATTTTTTAGAGTAAAAAACCAAATAATGTTGTATAACTTACTGGAAGGGTTGTTGACTAGTTTTACATATAGTGATTACAAGGAAGATTAAAAAAAAAAAAACTGTGATTACTATGTTATTTTTATGATAAAAAACAATTACAAATACATAGCTTGGCAACAGTTTCAGAAATCATTTCGCCTCCTATGCAGGTCTACCTGAGATGGCTCATGGAGCAATTCAGACTCAACTCAAGTCCCATCATGCTTTATAGATTATTAAGGTCCAAAGAACGGAATGGAAAAGAGATACAATGGAAAATACTTTTTATTCAAAATGTGGTATAAAGAATATACATTTTGCAAGTACAGTAGGTTTAAAAGTTTGTGTCTATATAATAAGGTCTAAATGATTATGTCGATATGAGGTATATGTTTGATTGGATGTGGTGGTACGATAAAACAAGACAAACAACACAGGTATAAAATAAGTTAGGCCTATGGCAAATATGAGAAAAATAAATTCGTAAATAAATGCTTATTCCAGGAATGTGATTAAACCCTGATTTCCTGATATTTCAATATACAATATATATATCAATATTTGAATATAGGGAATGGAATAACCTTTTGACTATAATTTTACATTTAGGTGCTATTATAAAGGAATGTGATCCATAAATACCAAACCCAAATCGATAAACTAAAAATAAAAATCATCACATTGAATGCATACTTATTCTATGAATGTAGAAGAGTTATATTAATGATACTAAGGAATGATAAATCCATTGCAGTTGGTCTTTTTTCAAACGATGATTTCATGCAACAAATTCAGGTTGTTTTCTTGACTAATCTTCATACTATAAATATCCTCTGTAACAAGCAAAGAAAATTGTAAATAGAAAAATAAATATTGAAGCTTGACTTATGACATGGCATGGTATCTTGATTGATGTTTGTGTAGGCCTATCTTGAATTTGAAAACAAATATTAGGCTATAAATTTTACAATATATATGTTAACATTGCAGACTTTTAATTAAAGCAAAGTGGAATAATACCTGATTCTGGCCAGAAAAAAATCACATAGTTTTTAATTTAAATATCTATTTACAATTCATAAACACTAGACATGTCTCAGAGACAATTAATTACGTCATTGACATGACAAATTATGTTTCATTTATAATATGCTATGCTAACTCTTTTTGTCTTCTAGTTTTTGACAAACATTGGATCCATTAAAGGTTGGGTGTCTAGAAGTTGAATATCATCCAACCACACAATCCAACCACAAAAGTTATAAGAGTTTGTCATGATTAAGTTTTTTAGGAAAAAAATAAAATATCCAACTCACAACTAGAGAAAGAAACACTTTATAAATAAAGTAAATTCTAGATAGCCTAATGATGTATTTACTGTTTACTAATTAAACTTATTATGACAACCCTGTGGAGGAATAACAACTCATTGAATTGAACTGTCCATTTTCAAATTAACTATTTGCTGAGGATTGTTCGAGAAGCAAGAGGACTTCAAGGTAGCTTATAAAACAAAAGGCATTTAACCATTTATGACTAATGAGATGAATTATGTAATGAGATGCCTATGCAAATTTACACATTTCTTCAAAGACTTACTTTTAAGTCTTGCGCCGAACTTTGTTACATTAGTAAAAATCAAGCATCGTGACGTATTCAAAGCAAAACCGATTTACAGAAAACTTAATAGTTGTCCAATATGTAAATTCCAGGCTTTTCCATTTCCAAAATCTATGGTACAAAACTTATGTAGGCCCTAGTATTTTGTTTTTATTGTTTTAACAGTTCTTACAAATTATCCTAGTTTCTCTCATAACAAATAATCAACATAATTTGTTTTCTAAACATCTAGTCCTTAAATAAGTAAAGTTTATAAAAACTCTATAAAATACTTACGTTTTATCTTACTTGGTAAGAGTGTGTCTGAGAATAAGGAAAGGAACTGACATTCCAGATCCAAAGTACAGTACAAAGTATGCAGTTAATTTCAACTTTCCATCAATGTTAAATGGTAGGTTCTGAAAAACAGAAAATTATATATTAAACAAAAATCAGTATTATCTTATTATTTCAACCTAAGCTATTATAAATAAAACAAAATAATACAATAAAATGTAGCTTTCAATGCAAAACTAGCATAAGTGTTGCACTGAAAAAAGATTATCTTATTTTTCCTTCTCATATGAAG